TCCTCTCCGCCGGTCACCAGCAAGCGCTTGCCGCGCTCCTCCCGCGCACCCAGCCCAGCACTCTTCCTTCCGGGCGTGCAAAGAATGTACGCGCTGGAAAGCTTGGGTGATGACGATTTTGAAAGGTATTAAGTGCTCAAAACGTAAGTGGAATAAACTGGCTGGATTTTATCACAGTGTCTAAAGATGTGTGTCTCACAGGCTCTTTAAAGCATTCATCATGAACATTAGATTCTACAGGTGGTTTTCTCACTCTCAGAAGATAGTTTCTATCAAATGATAATTCTCTTCACAGTGTTGGACTTTTATGTGATATTTCTGTAAAAATCATGTGGGGAACTTTAGTGCTGGCATCCTTCCCCTCCTCCCTCCTCTCCCACAAATGGGTTTCTATCTGTCACTAATTCTATTCTAATCGTTTTGGGATAAGCTACCTTATTGTTGCCCTAAGATTACAGCTCAGAAAATTTAAATGGACTTGGATCTCCTTTAAAAACACTTCATGGCGGTGGGTGGAGGGCAGGGTTGGTGGAGAGGTGCAAGGGAATAGCTCGGTGGTAGAGCCCGTGCTTAACATACACAAGGTCCTGGGTTCAATCCTCTGGACCTCCATTAAAAAATTAAAAAAACAAATCTTAGTCCAAAGTTACTCCTTCTGCCCCAGCTAATGCCGTCAGTTTGCCTAACTCTCTCTTTCCTTCCCCACCTGCAGAAAAGATCTTCAAAGGGTCCCCAAAAGGAAGCCTTCATGTTTCCCTGGTCACGAATCCACCATGACTCTGAGTAGGTGCTGATCCCGGACACTACTGGGAAGGTGGCAGCCAGGACCTACCCCAGGAATAGGAGCCAAGAGTAAAGCTTTTCTTTCTTTCATACTCAGAAGCCAAACTTTCTGGTTATGGAAGACAGCAAAGGCTTACAAATGAACTTCTCATTTAAGATCCTGTGCCCTGCATTGTACAAAGTTGTCCATTTGTCCGGAAGGAACAGAATTAAAGAAAAAAGATTTGACAACACAGGAATGTTATCTCAAACTGTATATTCTGTATATCATAGAAATACACAGAAGGTGCTTTTAAAAATGGTTCAAGGAACAAATACATTTTTTATAAAAATTAATCTCTGATAAAGCAAAGCAGGCAGCCATGTGATAACACTCTGGCAGTGCTAGAAAGCGGTTCACCCAGTACTGGATGATCTATATTTGGTTCCGAGGGAGGGTGGGGGCAGGGTATAGCTCAGTGGTAGCGCCCATGTTTAGCGTGCATGACGTCGTGGATTCAATCCCCGTTACCTTCATTTAATAAATAAATAAATAAATAAATAAATAAATAAATAAATAAATAAACCTAATTACCACCCCTCCCCCGAAATTTGGTTCCCAAAATAAGGTGAAGTTTTAATTTCTAGAATTAGAATCTTGCCCCTGCACCATCCTATTTGCAGAAGTAATGAAGCCTCTCCACGCATGCAGGAGGAAGGCTGACCAGCCGGCGCATGTCAGGCGTCTCCCCCAGGTTCTCAAACAGACAAGGAGGCGTAGCCATGGCTTACCAATCACGTAGCAAGTTATCCACGTCCCCTTTCCAAACACACCTTGTAGGAAGCGGAAGACCACGAACACGGGGAAATTGGGTGCAAATGCCACCACAACCCCAGTGACGCCAACACCGAAACAGGAGATTAAGTAAATGACTATTCGGCCGTACCTTTTCAAGAATGAGAGAGGAAGAGATCACATTAAACATTTTCTTTAATACGATGAGAAGACTGTCATTGTCAGGGTTGTTAAAAGAGATTTAAGAATAGAAATTTTGTCCTCTCTAACGTCATTACTACTATGTAAAAGACTGCTGGAATAATTATCCGCTTTGGCAAATAAAAACATATGCCTCTGAAATGACATCACAGTTTAAAGCATGGCATGTATCCTTTGGGGTGGCAGTTTCCAAAGAGATGGCTCCTCTCTAATACAACTGTTTTTTTCACAATCGCCCTGGTGGCACAGCTTGGACACTCCTAGCGTTTCTGTGATGGCATCAGAAGGAAGAAGGGAGAGGGAGAAGCAGCAAGGGTCATGACAGCCAGGAGATCTGCGGTCTCTGCTCAGCCACCCGCCAGTCATGCGCCACGCCTTTGGGGAAATTTCTTAAGCAATCCAGGACTCAGGTGTTGTTCGTTTGCTTGTGCGTGCATGTGTTTTTTCTTTTACTTTTTCTACAGTGAGGCTGTAGAGATTCAAGATGCTAATGTGAAAGCTCTTTACAAACTGTGAAGTTCACAGCGAAGGTGAGTTGTTCTCAAGTTCCGTGCTTGTCACCATTTACACAGCCGTTCGGAAAGCACTTTGGAAAAGACACAGGTCATCGTGGCGACGTTCGGAGAGCCTGACATTGGACGGTTCGGGACAGCTCTGCCGAACTGTTAGTTGCGGAAGGCCTGTCATCGAGGATGGAGAGGTTGCTTCAAAGACATTTTCCTACAGAAATTTCCACCAAGTCCACACATCCAGCACCTTGCTTCGGTCAGCAGGGTGGAGACAGAAGTAACCTTTGTTTATCCAGGTTTTAAAATTCACCCTCTGCCCCTCCTAATGTCTCTCATAGACATACGACCTGTTAAATTGTTTCTCTTCCTTTCCTTCAAGGATATAAAACAGAAGGAGGCGAAAGATGGTGGGCCCGGAGGTGAGGCGGCATTATTCACGGCTCACTCTTGTCTGGAGCAGCGGGTCATCTCTGAGGACAGATGCCCAGCCCCTCCGGGAACACTGGTGGGAAAAGCCCCCTCCTTTAGTCAAGTTACTTTAGTCTGAAGATATGTTTATTGGTTGTGAAAGAGAAACATGCAGAGGCAGCAAAACCTAAGGTGTAAATTAGGAAGAGGAACAACAGCATGAAAGACACACATATTGAAAATCTCTCACTCACTTCCGCACTGTAGACAGTAGGAGAGAGAGTGATGGGTGGGGAGATTAAGGAAGGAAAGGTGAATTGAAGGGGCTGCTGGGAGAAGCAGTAGGAAAAGACACAGATAGAAGAGGAAAAGGAGGTGAGGGGTCTAGCTCAGTGTTAGAGTGTTGTCTACGCCAGGTCCTGGGTTCAATCCCCAGTAACTCCAATCTGAAAAAGAAAGAAAGAGAGAGAGAAAGGGGGAAGGACCACCAGACACAAAGGGTTAAGGAGAAAGTCACACGCAGAAGCGGGCTGGAGGGACAGCACAAGAAAAAGAAGACAGAGGAAGGGGCAGAAAAAGAAACCAAAGGTTCAAACCATTTTGAAGTCCTGGGCCAGTCAAACGCAGATCATCAGTTGCCTACAGGATTTGGGGTGTTTTGTCTTGAATTAGCTAATTCATGGCTGGCTGCAGCTCTCTAAGATGTGCCCTTGGCTCTGCCTACTGCAAGCGTGGTCACAAGGACCCAGCGAGGCTGGGCTGGAGGGACGCGAGCAATAGTAAGTCAGATACGGCCAAGGACCAAAGCTTTCCTATCTCTGTGCTAAAAGGGCAGAGAGAATTATTAAATTACTGCAAGCATGTTTATGCTTCGAATTGGGATAAAGGAACAGTTAAACAGGAACACAGTAACCAACATCAATAGTGTCTGAAACACAAATACTGGAATACAGAGCATGACAGTCTTGACTATAAACACTTGCTGTGTCTGCCAGTAACTGGCACACTTATGAATGTTCAATAATAGATAGAGGTCTTTTTTCAATGGAGGTGCTGAGGATTGAACCCAGGACCTCGTGCATGCTAAGCATGTGCTCTGACACCGAGCTATCCCCTCCCCCCAAGAAAATTCTTTTAATAGTTTTTGGAAAACTTTTTTTTTTTGCAGAGTTTTTACTTTGTAGAGTAAAATACAAAATTAAAAAAAAAACTTAAGTGAAATGAATTTGTAAGGGGCTGACCTTATGACTAAACTAACCAAGCCACAAGCAGGGAGGTACTGAAGGTCGTGGAATCAACTCCGCAGCATCCAGCCAGCCATCGGCTCCACCACGAAGTCACTGCCTTGCTGGTCTGTGTTTCCTTTCAGATGCATTCAGACCCACTGGGAGGAGACCCAACAGTTCGTACAGTTCAAAGAGTAAGGAGACGCAGTTTAAGAAGGAAAGAATTAGTCCAACCGAACAAGCGTGAATTTTATGAGTGGAGGAATTAAGATTTTTTTCCCAATGTAGCAAGGACACTTTTCTAATCATAAACATGAAACCTCTTCCTCTCCACACGTATAATGTCATATTTGGGATGTAGAGTAGCTGTCGTACCCGTGCCTACCTGTCCGCTGCGTAGCCCAAGGTGAACGCCCCGGCCAGGAAGCCCAGGTTTAGGATGGCTTGTGTGAGGTCCAGCATCCAAGCATTGACACACACGAGGTCAAACTGGGAAAGCAAAGAAAACACACAGGAGATGTGCGGCAACACCCACCCTCAAGACACCTGGTCTCTTGTCTAGATCAGTGATCTATAAACATTTTTGCTCGTATACTCCTTAAATAAAAAATTTCAGTGTATCGCAACACATGTTTTTACAATGATATAGAGATATCTTCTTTATCGGTTTCAATATCTACCAAGGATGCAATTTCCAGTACATTATAGACACTGACATATCACTCTTTTGGCTGTATCCACTACAGTCCCTCAGCCAGGTGACACCTACCATCATCCAGTGAAAATTTGAATTCTTTGAATTCCTATTTTTGTTCCCACATACATATATCCCAAAGTTTTATGTAGAAAATATATTATTGTGTTTTGTGTTAATGTGTATTGTGTTAACAGAAAGGTAAATAAATACTTCTGCATGCAATAAATTATATCTATAAATTGACATTTAATTAAAATTTTTTCCATGACAATGTTTCTCAAAATTAGAATCTTTTCTGATTGGGTTATAATTACAGTTACTTTTAGAACATAACTGATAAAAACATAAGATATAATGAATCCTGAAAAAAAAAACTCTTTACACAGGAGTAAAATTTTTCGGAAATGCACCTCTATTTCCAGAAAAGTGTTAAAAAGCCTGGGGCTTTCCAGTTAGTTCATGTAATCTGTGGATGAAGATTGTTTATTATTATAATTAGTTAGGGCACAACATCAATTCTATTCTTGTTTTTCATTTTTATAAAGTTATGAGCCAAGAAAACTTGTCTGTATAAATAAATTCATGAGAATGGAAGTTTTTTCAAACAATGTTACTTAATTCTTTTACTTCTTTCTCAACCATGTGCCAAGATTCCCATAGCAATCTATCATGAAATTATTTTGACTTTTTAATGTGCCATTAAAGTCCTTTTATGGTCTTGTTATGAGGAAAGAAATGGAAACCACCTGACTTACAAAAAGTGGTTTAATCAAATCATTAGGGTCATTATTTTCTTTCTTAGTTACTTAGTTACTTTCTTACCAATATTCCAAATTAGCCCACTGTTTGGTCTCCTACAGGTTCAAAACCACAGGTCAATACATCATAGTAAGATGGAAGAGTGGTAGAATTATTCTCACAAAGTGGGAGAAAGACATTAGGGAAAGCACGTGTGTCCTCGTCACATTCATATTCTTAGCCAGGTCGATTTTGGACATATATGAGTTGAGGCTCTGAAAAATGATTCCCTTCAAAGTATCCAGGCCCTCCACCCCTGTGACTGTCTTTGCAGACCTCCAGATGACATGCTTGCCCCAGCTGGAAGACCACTGCTCTAGACTGTAGCATGAAGAGAAAATTAATGTTGGAACAGGAATTGTGTGTCATTTTATAGACACACGTTCATAAGCAAACTGCAGTATTTCTCTGTAGAACCTGACTTCTTGTCTTGGTTCTACAGCTGATGACCTATTGACTAACATAGCTGGGGGAAAAAACCAAAACTGGGGGCAGGAGTACCTGGCCCACCTTGCAGAGCTGCTGAAAAGATTCTTGGAGATGAAAAAAGTAAGAAGACATACATGTTTGCATAGTAGTAGTAACTTCAAAGAGATTTATCATCAGTGTAGGTACTGGTTTCTCAAAGCACAACAACTTCATTTAAAGTAAACTTGTAGATGATTCTCTGAAATAATTTCCCATTGGAATTAAACATGGAAAGAATGCAACTAGAATTAAAGTACATAAAATCTCAGAAGTCAAACAGGTGATTTTACTGCCAGAGAAAACATTTTGATTCAGAAAAGTATCAGCCAGTATCAAATATAAACTCCCGAAGGGCAGGATCTGCTTCCGACACCTGGGTTAGCCGCAGATGCAGGAATGCTTTTCATACATGACCCAGCAAAGCCCAGCAAGAGCTATGTTTTTAATGCATGTGTTCAGCTGCTTTTGAATTGTGTGAATTAAGATGCCCCAAAATAGTCTTTAAACACACAAAATATTCTGTGATATAAAACCAACGGTCTTTTTCACTTTCCCATAAGACAAGTTGTCAAAAAGATTTTTTTCATACTTTGTATCAAAATAAAATTAATTTAAAATACATGTTTAAGTGGTTGAAGTGCCCGATAACTTGTTTCTAAAGAACCAAGATGCCATCTGGGCCGCATATTATGTGTCCTCTGTGCTTTGTTCTGCATCTCAGAGGCTGGAGGAGTGGAAACAACATTTCCCAGAATCCTTGCCAGGAGGGTAGGGGGTAGTCTGTTTAGGTTCTGCCAGTAGAGGGCGCCGATGCAAGACTGGAGGAAAGTAGTGGCTTAGCTGCAGCACCAGCTCTGTTCATGGCAGTGACAACAGTCAGTGCTTCTAACCACTCGTGGCCACATGAGGGCCAAGGGACAGGTCCCACAGCTCTGTAATGCTGTGGAGCAGGGCAGGGACTATCTGGGAACTGCCCTTCTTGACCTATCTGTACCTCCTTGCTTTTCTAACTCTTCTGAAATAGCTCAAATCCAAATCCTTTTATTCAATCCCTTCCTGCTTGAAATACCTAACCTGGTTTCTACTTTCATGGCTGGGAGCCTGCCATCTTTCAGAAGCACAGAATAAATTAATTTAAACAAATTATATACCTGTAAAGGAATGCGCGCGCGCACACACACACACACACACACACACACACACTCTCACCCACTCTTAGATTCCCAGTATGGGGAAACAAACGCTGCAGTCATGAGGATTCCAGGGCTTGGTCTGGACTCTTGCTCATACAGTCAGAGGGTAGACCCCTGCCTCCTGGGGCTAATGCTTCCTAATCTGGGGCTGGTGTCGCCAAAACAGCTATGTGACATGTTTTTGTGTCTAAAGAGTGGTCAGCAGGCACCAAAGCCAATGAGTGTTGTAGGCTAAGGACTTTTTCCTAAAATAAAATACTAAAAGCTTGTTGTAGTGCCTGGGGAGACCTAAAACCCACCTCTTGTCAAATTTACTTAAGTTTGAATCAAAGACACAAGCGTTTATGTCTTTGTCCTAAGGCAATCTATCAAGAACAAGGGAGGCTATTTTTAAATGCTCATAAATCCATGTGTACCCATCCTGTTAATTTTCTTTTAAAGTCACTTTTATTTAAATGTAAAGTCATTTTTATGCAAAGAGAATTCCTCCCCTTGGCATGAGCAGAAAGCCAATCTGATAAAAGTTTCAAACAACTGTTCATGTAATGCTGGAGGGACTGCACTGCCTCATTCTGCAGAAAGCACAACCCTCTCCTAATTAGACACATTTGAAGGGCTTCCAACCAAGTGCTTTTCTTAGCTTTTCCTAGTTGTTAAAATCCAAACAGACGTTATATTCATTTAAGTTGTAATGATAAAATGCTGGAGCAAGCCATTACCTGATATATGCTAAAGTTTTGACTTCTAAATTATCCTGAGAACTCGTGCAACAGAGTATCTTCACTATACAAAGGTCAAAGGTAGGAAGGAAGGTAAAAATAAAAATGCAGATATGCAAAAGGTTTAGGAACTCAAGAGGGGGCTTGCCTGCTCCTTAAACCACTTGATGGTCTGGCAGCTGGCTTTTCCATAGACATCTCGTTTAGTTGTCTTGAATAAACCCTCACGTTAAGAGAGTCTAAGTTTAGAGGACATCACAGTATTTGACCTCAGTTGTGGCCGTGGGAAAAAGTACTCATTCATTGCTTCTATTGTTGTGGGAGGAAGGGAAGTCTCTGAAGTCCAATGATAAGCTCCAAGTGCCTCTGTTTTGATTTTGTAAGGATGGGTCGTAAACCCAGCCATTCCTAGTCAGGTCTCAGTTAGAACTCAGCAGCCGGTAAACTCTTCATCAGTGTTAAAAACAGAGCCTTGGGTGTGGGGGGCCCTGGCTACATTCAGCACTGGCCAATCACACAGCAACCTCTGTGGATAGGTTCCACTGCTAATCAACAAGCCACCGTAACAGAGCCTAACATAGGTTCAGAATACTGTAATCACATTGGACACTAAGTGAAGAAAGTCATTTATAAAAAGAAGCAGACTCAAAGACATAGAAAACAAACTTATGGTTGCCAGGGAGAGATAAATTAGGAGTTTGGGATTAGCAGATACAAACTATTATACATAAAATAGATAAACAACAAGGTCTTACTGTATAGCACAGGGAACTATATTCAATATCCTGTAATAAACCACAATGGAAAAGAATATGAAAAAGAATAAATGCATATGTGTAACAAATCACTATGCCGTACAGCAGAAACTAACACAACATTGTAAATTAATTATACTTCAATAAAAAATTAAACATTAAAAAATGTATAATCATAAAGGAAATAATTTGGGTTGGCGCTCCACGAGGGGAAAGGGTGTCATTATTAATTTGTTTTAATGAAAATTTCTTTAACATGATTTGATGGCATGATTTAGGTATCTTAATACCAAAAAGTGGATGCTCTTCTGATCTGTTTGAAGCATCACGATGAGCTGCAGGCATGAAAATTAATCATCGGGTATTCATAGCTTCCAGTGATGTGCTTGCATCACACAGATGCAGCCGGGAGAAATACCAGTGATGAGCATGCTTTATTTCTGCCTCTGTGAGGAGCTTATTCCATAGCTTGGAGAGCCAGGGTCAATTTATGGGAAGCAAATGCAGAGCAATTGAGATCTGAACTGAATGGGACTGACTATAAATGCAAGAGGGTCTCAGAGAAAGAAATGACTGCAGAGACCCAGAGCTGTCAGATTTATGAGGAAGGTGGAATGTAAGCAGATCCTTCAACTATGAGGTGTATTTAGAAGGGGGAAAAATATAATGAAAAGCAAGGTATTTGTGCAGGGTGGGGGACGCCGTAGGCACAGGAACAGGGACATGGGTGACTGTGGGGTTCAGATCTGCCTGCCATACGTGGGGGTGCCAGGCTCAGATGGTAAGCTGAGGAACCACTCGTCTCTGCCCCCAGTGAAGGAGGGAGAGCCGGTCCAGGCGGATGAGACGGTGAGTACCA